GTGATTATTAAAAGGCGGGAAATGAGCTTTCCCGAATTCTGAAGTGTCTTTTAATGACTTTAATCCTCTCCTTCTTCACTCTTTCTTTTCTTGCATTTCTTTCCGATCATACACAAATCTCCATAGACCTGCCAGGGTGGGGGGGGGGTCTATCTGCTTTTTGACCTTCAACTCTCTTTTTTCTAAACTATGTCAAATGCTTCCCAGTATATATTTCAATTAAATAATTAATTTGACATAGAATGTCTGTTGTTATCATCTCAACAGTACAATGCATAAGCCCAATATATTGACCAAATAAATTGTGTATGTTCCCTCCTCAGGCCCTATCTATTTAATGATGAAGTTTCATTCAATAACACAAGAATACGTCTACTAAAAGTTGACATAAAAATAGTGACAGTGTGCCATATGTGCAATAAGAAAAAAAGAACATTTATCAACTGTACTATAGATAACCATGGTTGGCATAGGCATAAATAATGGAGGACACATCATTAGCAACTAATATAAAAATCAAGGTCAATATGATAGGTATAATTTTTGCCCAACCTGACCAATACGATTGGAGAAAAATAACCGTTAAATATTACAATGAGATGTGTTACAATTCAGGAAACGATATCTTCGCACACATACTTACACAAAAAATGGAAGACTACAACAAATAAATGGCAGTCATATACACTATTACCATGGACCTATTACAGTACAGAAACATAACTTCATGCTAGACTTTTATGGTTTTTTTCTATAAACGTCCGGCGACCCTGCAAAATATCTTGTCGACCCTAATGTTGCTGGTAACCTATTGAATACAGGGTACTTAAATGAAAAGACTTTTATGAAACTCTCACCTCCGCACACCTTTCCCTAGTTTGATTAGGTGTTATTATCATATTTGTCATCACAAAAAAGGCGTTGTCCAGCTAGGGAGAAATCAAAATACAAAATAGAAATAATCATTGAAGTTTTCATCTTAGTTTACACATGGAAGAATTAGTTTAGACTATTACTAATTCCTCCATGGTTTACTATTGTGTATCTTGTATGTTCATAATCAGCTTGGGTGTGGCTTAGCGTTTGTAATAGCTTAGCGTTGGCTTCTTGCGTAGTTTACCCTACTTCAACCCCGGCTAACGTCAGGTTATTGGCAAGGCCGGCAGAACGTTTTTCAAAGTGGGAAGGGGCCTAATAGCGTGGCCGGAGATTTCACCGACAGACATTTGGCCTGCAGACTATCGACCGAAATACCATTTCGCCAAATGCCAGTTTGCCGACAGGTCCATGCGCCGACAGCCAATTTGCCGCCAGACAATTCGTCGACATTTTTTGTGAACATGTTAATGGATGGATGTGCCACCAGGTAGCTTATTTAGATGATTAATTTTTGTGGTCTGACGTAACGTATTACTATTCTTTATAATAATGGAAATGCCGTAATAATCTGGGGCGGATGCAGGGGCTGCAACGATGCGATCGCACGCCCCCCTCCCCCAACTCCAATTTTTTTATATTGTATTGTTTATATGTACATAATACCGGTAAAATTTTCAAGATATAGAATGAATGAATGCTGTAAATTTTGTGAATTCGTACTATGATACAATAAATAGGGTCATTGTAGCATCAATCTGTATCATGGAGTGTATTTAACTGTCATTAAATCACCAAAACTACAGTAGGCCTATAAACCAAGCTTGTTTTCAATTTATTTTCTTTTTTGAAATTCATGTACAGTGTATGTACTCTCTCGAAAAAAGCCTATGCTATCTTGAAAAAAGCCCATGGCTTTTTTCGAGGGTAAATTTACAAACTAAAGACGGGGCTTCAATTCAAGACGGGCTTCATCTCGTGAATTATTTAATTAATAATAAGTCCGTTTAACTTCAAATCAAGGTTTTACGGTATTTATCAAATCCCATGGTGACAGTTATAGTAATGATAAAGCATGAATGGTTAATTGATATTTAGTACAAGCATTACCAGGGAACAGTTGAACAAGTAATTTAACTGTTCCCTGGTATGACTGAGTGGTATAATAGTATACAGTAGTGTGTTTCGAACTACAAACACAAAACTGTGATTAACAGAATTCAGGCAGCGACAAGTGGAAAATTTGTAGTTAAATTATAGATACACTCTGGATATATTTTGTACTTGAAGCAATGAAACATGACATACTTTTTTACAGGAAATTTTGTTTTTTACATGTAAATCTTCCAAGTCTTCTCAGAAATAAATCGGTAAATGGTTTGATAATCATTTGTATTGTGATCTATTGTGTCTCTTGTAAATAATGTTCCGACAGATCAGATCAGACAGCCTCTCTGAAGCTATATGACAGGATATTTCGTCGACGGACAGCTTGCTGACAAAGGTTTCATCGACAGTGTCCATTTTAATCGAAATAGGCTCGTCAACAGCTAAATTCAGTGCTTTTGGTATTGTATTAAATCATTAAAGCAGGCCTAACTAGGCTTTAAAACTTATGAACACGTTAAAATATCTATTCCTCGCACAAGTAGGCCTATAATCCAATTTAAACACTATCATCAATTGAAGTATTTCAAAGCATTATTGCTTTAGTTATTACAGTCGCTTATGATGTTCTTAGTGCTAAAATATTTAATAAAAATATAGATAAACATGTGTTTATTATAATCCTGTATTTAATATTTTTTGGCAGAATCATTTATTGCATGATTAATATATTGAAAGTGCGTCTGCATGAATGGATATATATAAATAAAGACTTTCCATGAAGATCCAGTCTTCCAAAAAAAAAAAAAAAAAAAAAAATCTGTCGAAGAAACACCAATCACAACATCACAAAAATAAATTGTCGGCGACATGTCTGTCGACGAATTAGTTGTCGGCGAACTGGCTGCCGGCGAATCGTACAGTCGGCGAATTCCGGTGTCAGTGAATTTTCTTTCAGTCAACTGTCGGCCAAACGTCCGTCGGCAAAATGGCATTCGGCGAAATGTCCTAGTACCACCTAATAGTAAGATGAATGGTTTTAAATTTAGGGGTGGGGAGCATCATTTTCCCCAAAAACCCCAAAAAGGAAGGAGGGTCCTGGCCTGGGAAATGAGCTTTCCCGACTTTGAGCTAGGTGTCTTTTAACGACTTAAGAACTTTAAAGTCCTTCAAATTACAGTAAATAGGTCTGTTATGTGTTTATACATACACAGAAAAAAATGAGTAGTTGCATACGTGTACTTTTCCCCATGAATCGATGAACTCCAAAGAGAAAGGGGGTTCGGGGGTTCTCCTCCGGGAAAATATTGATTCCTATATGGCGGGATATGAGCTTTCCAGACTTCTGGGCTGTCTTTTTATGACTTTTAAATTCTTCAAAATTCAAGGTTTCCTCTCTTGAAAACGATTTTATGATTAATGAACCTCAAAGAGAAAGGTGGTTCGGATTCTCCCCGGGAAAATGTTGATTTCTAAAATGAAGAAATTGAGCTTCTTGAAAACGGTCAGGTAAATTTTTCTCATTCTTATTACAGTAAATAGGCCTTATGTGTACACACATAAAAAAAATGAGTAATTGCATAGGCCTACGTATTCTTATTACATGAATAGATAAATACCAGAAAGAAAGGGAGGGGTTCCGGGGATCCTCCCGGGAAAATTTCGATTCCTCAGTGGGGGAAATTAGTTTACCCGTATTCTGTGGTGTCTTTTAATGACTTTAAAGATCTTCAAAATTCAAGGTTTCCCCTATCGAAAACGATTCCATGAACCGATGAACCCCAAAGAGAAAGGGGTCCGGGTTACCCCCATGAAAATTTCTATTTCTTAATGGCGGGAAATGAGCTTTCCCGACTTCTGAAATGTCTTTTAGACTTTTAAGTTCTTCAAAATTCAAGATTTTCTCCTTTTGAAAATGGTCAGGTAAATTTTTCTCATTCTTTTGTGTTTACATACATAAAAAAAAAATTTTGGATTTTGTTTGACAGAACGATTAAAGAATATTTCGTTAATGTGTCATTTCAAAAAACAAATATTTACCACAGGGGGTATGACATAATCCGCTGGATCCCAGATTCTGTTGTATGGAGTGACATCTTGGACGTTTAGATCGAGGCTGTCTGTTATATTTGTGTAGGCAACTCCCGTTACCTTGGCTGTAACAGCACTAACAACTTCATCTGTGTCTTGACATCCTTTACTCACAATGATACTCCTAGTAAAGGCAAACATATCTGACAATCTAGGCTTCAGTTAACAAGTGCTTATATTATATGCAGTGTATATA